CTCCCCAGATGGCCTCAACGGCCGGAGCTGCACCGATCCGAAGCCAGGAGCTTCCTCTGGGTCTCCCACATGGGTGCAGGGCCCAAGGACTTGGGCCATCTTCTACTGCTATCCCAGGCCACAACAGAGAGCTGGACTGTTAGAGGAGCAGCCGGGACTAGAACCGGCACCCATATGGGATGCCGGCACTTCAGGCCATGGTGTTAACCCGCTGTGCCGCAGCGCCGTCCCTGCAAGGTTGATTTTACATTAGAAAACCAACCAGCGTACACAGTGTTGTGGGCAGGGGTTAGGCTGCTGCCTGCAGTGCCCGCATCCTGACTGCTCCATTTCTGATCCCGTTCCCTGTTGATGGCCTGGGAAAGCAGATGATGGTCCAGGTGCTCGGGCCCCTGCCACTATGAAGGAGACCCAGATGAAGCTCCTGGCTCCTGGCTTCAGCCTGGCTTGGTCCAAGCTGTAGTGGGCATCTGAGAGTGAAACAGTGGATGGAAGACGTCTTTCTCTTTTTCTCTCCCCCTAACACTGTCTGTTCAATAAATCAAATAATTAAATAAATCTAAAGAAAGAAAAAGAAAAGAAGGAAGAGAGGGAGGAAAGAAACCAACCAGCGTAACCGACTGCTACGATCCGAACAGGATCTGGCTCCCGAATTCATGGTGGACTTTAAGCCTCCAAGTTGTAAAGTGACAGTAGTAAGAGGATGGAAATTCAATCCAGTTATGGGGTCCAAGAGCAGGGCTTGCTGAGGCCCCCATGGCACCAGGTGTGCTTTCAGAAGGCAGCTCCTACAACAGGGTGACTTCTGAGAGCCAGGTTGGACCCAACTGCTGTCTCCGGCTCCTGCCTCAGCGTGTGACCCTCCATGGTGCCACGCTCTTATCTCATCAGATGCCAAAGTCATCTTGGTCTGTGTACTTCCCAAACCGTAAGCCAAAACAAATCCATACCTGACAAAACCCTGTATCCACTCTCACTGAAAACTCTCAGAAAGCTAGGAACCCATTTCCTCTACCTTAGAAAGGTTACTACAGACTAGCTACAGCTCACATGGTTTTCAATGATTTAAGACTGAAAATTTTGCTCTATGATCAGGAACGAGGTCTGCTCAACGCTGGCAGGGCTCCTAGCTGGTGTAGTAAGACATGGAGTAACCAATCAAATGCATCTGGAAGACATGACGCTGTCTCTGAACACGTGACTGCAAAAGAGCCTAATGTAACCTGTAAACAGAGCAGGGTTAGGAAGCTTGCATGATACAACATAAATACAAAAAATCTACTGCCTTTATAAAGGTAAGTTCTAGAAAAAGCAATTGAAGATCAAGTTTAAATTAGTTTACAAGAGCATTAAAACTTGACCAGGTAGCCACAAACCTAACAGAAGGCATGAGAAACCCGCACACTGAAGAGCACTGTTCTGTCCTTTGCGAAGGGCCCACAGGAGCTCCCTGCTCCTCCCACCCCAGGATGACATGAGACGGCACCGAACAGGAACCAGGAGGTGGCCTCAGACACGACCGCAAAGAGCACGCACACGCGGCAAGGGAGTGTGCTGAAGGTGGGGGACATCATCAGTTCCTGCAGAAACACAAATCAGAACCACAGCAGGTGTCCCCTGCTGGACGGCGTCCTGCTCTGGTGAAGTCCCCGGGAATGCACCAGCCTGCGGCTGTCCCTCCTCCGCCACAATGGCGAAGGCTGCTGCTCCAGCTGCAAACCCACCTCCTCACACGTACTCCATCGGGCAGCTTCTCTCCGGCATCTGCACGGGCGCTGGTGCCTCCCCAACATCAGAGTCCCCTCAGTGGCCTCTCCAGCTACCAGGCTCTTTGCACCTTGTCCTCACTTCCACGGCCAAACACCTTAGAGAGAACCAACCACCTCGATCCATGACGCACCTGCCCTCCACATATCCCAGTCTGACCACGGCCCCAGCACGAGACAAGACTCAAAAGCACTACTCTAGCAAAAAACAATCCGACGTTACAGTCAGCCTTCGTTAATCAGAACGTATTTTAAACAAAGCTGTACAACAAGAGACACCCAGGAAGAGGTAGGCACAGAGCACAGGAGAGCGCCTGCACGTGAGACGATCAGGCAGACTGTTCAACAGACTTTTATACAACAAACATGGAGATTCCCAACTTCCAAGCAATCAGAGAAACGTAAGCCAGACAGCGCGCGATGTGAGCGCCACAGCCAGTGCAGAAACCAGGCTCCCGGAGGACGCACGAGTGCACTGCGGCGCTGCTCATGCGTGACAGCAACACACTGACAAGGCGAAGGAAAACTGCCCACCCGCAGGAAACCAGACAGGGCACAACGCACACAACAGCCTGGGACGCAGCTAAAGAACACAGAGAAACCTACGGACATAACGTTGAGTGAAAAAGGCAATCCCACAGCTACAGATGGCAAGTCAGCCCTTCTGTAAAGTTCACAACTACAGGATACGCTGTGCAGACGGCAAACTCCTCTTCAGAAGTAAGAGCACGCCCCCTGCTAAGGGCTGGGAATGAGCGAGGGGGAGGGAGAGCCGAGCCACAGCACTGCTGTGCGAGTGAGCGAGCCGCTGAGAAAAGGGGCCAGCACCCCCACCGCGCCCGCTATCTCCACACCCTCCAGAGAGCCACAGTGTCTCCTGTGGCACTGCAGCGCCACCCTCCTGGCCATGAAGAAACGCGCACGGGCATGAATCACCTGTTATACGTGAACTCCACATCCATAGGTTCAAAGTTGTATGTCTGTTCAAATTCTGGATTCAGTTTAAGAGTTACATCTTCTTCGTGAATCTAAAAGAGAAACACACCATTTGATTTCCAGACATTTTACTTGATTTCTTGGAATAATTTTATATCTACATCCAGCAACACACTATGAGAAATGTACTTCACAGATTTAAGTCAAAATTTTAAATGTCTGCAAAAGCAATTGAAAAGGACGACATACGCCGCTAAATCTCTCACACAGGAGGGGCGACATCCCCACTCCCAGCGAAAGCGCTAGCTAGACTGTCCCGGGGCCCTCAGGGCAGGGGTCTGCGGCTGCAGCTCTGCCTCCACAGAAAGGCCCCACGACCCCTAGTGGTAGCACAGGGAACTACAGCCTGTGGGACGCCTCCCTTGAGGCTTCCAGACCAGAGAGCAGGCAAGGAGAGGATGAGGGCGCGTGGGAGGAAGCACAGGAAGCAGAACCCTGCCTGAAACAGGAACCCGAGCCCTCAGGTGGTAAGGAGGCTGACCTGGAGCCATTGTGAAGTCTGTGACCTGGATGAGGAAATCACTCTCACCAGTAGGGCTTTTTGCTCTTGACAGACACAACCACGACCCCAAAAAGGCAACCAGTTCAGCAGAGGTGTCTGTCTCCAAGTGAAAAGACATGAAAACGGATCTACAGTCAAAGGCCACTGAACCCAGGGAAATGACTGCCACGTCTCACAGCACCGGCAGTTCAGGGCCAAGGACATCACACACTGGCAGGACCCCTTACGGAAAGCTGACACACCACACATACGAAGTTAAAACCAGATGAGCAGGCACAGGACAGCGAGGGACACGTCAGGGTGATGCTGAAGCACACTAAGCGTTCCTGTGAGACACAAACAGGGCTGGGGCCGGCGCTGTGGCACAGGAGGTTAACTCCGCCTGCGGCGCCAGCATCCCATATGGGGTCAGTTCAAGTCCCAGCTGCTCCTCTTCCAATCCAGCTCTCTGCCATGGCCTGGGAAGGCAGTGAAAGATGGCCCAAGTCCTTGGGCCCCTGCACCCACATGGGAGACCTGGAAGCAGCTCTGGCCTCTGCGGTCATTTGGGGGGTGAACCACCAGAAGGAAGACCTTTCTGTGCCTCTCCCTCTTACTATCTGTAGCTCTACGTAATAAATAAAATCTTAAAAAAAAAAAAAAAAAGACGGACGGGAAGGAGCCGCAGCAGACAGAAGCCATGCCTGTGGCCTGCCAGCACGGCTAGCACAGGAGCCCTCCCTCCCCAGGACCCCCACCTGGGGACCCCCAGTGGCGGCCCTGTGTGAGGACCCCGGGCTCCAGCTTCAGTGGCCAGACACACCTCCTGCAGCCTCCTGCACACACCACTGCTGAGAGCCAGCTGCAGGAGGCAAGCACAGACGTGGTCCAGACCTCAGACCCGGCCAACCTGACCGTGCAGTCTGTAACCCCGAGCTTCTGACACTGTGGGACGGTGGACGTCACCAAGGCGCCTAACCATCTTCTGAAGCCAAGGGCTTGCACTGTGAACTGAGTGAGCCACCGTGGGGTGCAGCCGAGTGCGACGGGGACCACAGCGGGCTGCTCGGCTGTGCCTCTTCTCAGAGCTCCTGCCTGTTTCTTCAGAGTTTGTGGGGCCCAGTGCTTCCCCTCAGCACAACTGGTCTACCTGGAGTCCAAGGTGGCCACCTGGCTGTCCTGGGACCCCCATGCCATGTGGTCAACAGCGCAGGTGGCTATGGAGCCGGCGAGCCTGACAGGCCCCACAGTCCAAGACGAGTGGTTGCTCGGGGGGGGGGGGGGGCAGAGGGATGGCCTTGCCACACTACTGATGGAGCTGACAGTGGACACTGGCCAGGCACGATGTGACCCCTGAACAACGTGGGACCGCTCCCTGTCCAGCCACCTGCAGTGCTGCTAACCCTGGAGCTGGCCTCAGGCGGAAGGGGACCAAGTTGTGATTTCGGTTCTTTCTCAACTGGCTGGCAACGGCAATTACTTCATTTTATTTGAAAGAGAGTTCAGACCTTCCAGTCCCCACATGCTCACAGCCAAGGCTGGGTGAAGCTGAAGCCAGGAGCCAAAACCTCAATCCGCGTCTGCCATGCGGGCGGCAGGAGTTAAGCACCTGAGTGCCCATCACCGGCTGCCTCCCAGGGTGCGCGGCTGCACAACGGCTCACCCGGGAGCACAGCCAGTCTTGAACCCAGGCACTGACAGGACACAGGGGTGTCCCAAGCAGCCACTTACCTGCTACACCACCCGCCCGCCCAAGAGCGGTGCCCTCCTCTGCTTTCCTCTCCCGCCTAAGGTCCTGTCTGCAATCGCCGCCTTCCCCTCAAGTGGCCTGTGCACACTGACTCAGTGCACGGACAGGCTACAGCGCCACCTTGTGGAACGTGGATGCTGGTTCTCCAAGGGTCAGTGCTGTCACCATCAGGAGCAAGTTCCTTACAAGAGAATGGATGCCGACACTCGTGCAAAACGGACGCCTTTTCTTCTGTTATTTTTTTAAGATTTACTTTATTTGAAAAGCAGAGTTAGAGGGGTGAGGGTGAGGGTGTTGGCTACAACAGCTGCGGCTGGGCCAAGCCCAAGCCCAAGCCCAAGCCCAAGCCCAAGCCAGGAGCTTCATTCAGGTCTTCCGCACGGCTGCAGGTTCCAAGCACTGGAACCACCTTCCACTGCCTTCCCAGGCACATTAGAAGGGAGCTGGGTCCCAAGTGAAGCAGCTGGGACTCGGGCCAGTGCCCACTGGGATGCCGGCATTGTACGTGGTGGCTTAACCCAGGCTGCCAGAATCTGACACGCCCTTTGAGTCTGGGGACAGGGTCTTTTTTTTTTTAAGATTTCTATTATTTTCTTTTTTAAAAAATGTTTATTTATTTGGAAGACAGTGTTAGAGAGAGAGGTAGAAACAGAGGAAGGTCTTCCATCCATTGGTTCATTCCTCAAATGGCCACAATGGCAGGAGCTGATCTGAAGACATGAGCCAGGTGCTTCTTCTGGGTCTCCCACATGGATGCAGGGGCCCAAGGACTTGGTCCATCTTTTGCTTTCCCAGGCCAGTGGAGGGAGCTGAATTGGAAAAGCAGCAGCTGGGACTTGAACAGACCCGTATGCGATGCTGGCACTTCAGGCCAGGGCTTTAACCTGCTGCGCACAGTGCTGTCCTCCCCTCCCCCACGAATCTTGATGACAGGAAAACATGGCCTCACGGCAGAGGCAGGCAGCACCCAGTGCCCCTGTGCCGGGCTCACGACACAGCATGGCCAGCCAGGCACTCCAGTCTTGTCATCGGAATTTCACGGCTGAGAGCAAGGACAGGGGAGCTTTATTTTCGGCACATGGAAACGTGTACCTGGGTTTTCACCACCAAAATGCACGGCCCCCATCTCAGTCTCTCTTGCCTTTGCACCGACGATGCTGACCACTGCGAGCAGATTCCAGGGCATCACCAGACCTTGAACTCTTCCCCCAAAGCCAGCAGCCAGACGTCATCTCCCCCCACCACGGGGCATAGACGCTGAGGTTACCGTGTTGATCAGCTGGACCCCGACCCACTTCCTGCGAGCAGAGTTTGGCTGTCTGCTCCCACCCCGACTTTCCCAGTATAACCTCTTTGTCGGGGAGGCACCTCCAGAAGGTCTGGTCTTAGGGCCACCCCCAGTGGTGCCCCGAGCAGGCTCTCGTCATGGCTGCCTCAGGCCTCGTCTGGAGGACAGGGCTTCCTGGCGGGGCAAAGCCCCTGACGGCTGCCCCCGCTGCGGTCTAGAAGAGGGAGGTCTGCCAGTGGCCAATGTATTGAAGCCTCGGTCTCAAGGGGGTGCTACTGGCAGGTGGTAGCCCCTTTAGGAGGCGGGGTCTTGGGGGAGGGGCCTTGGAAAGTAGAAGCCCTGTGGAGCAGTCACCAAGGACTAGCATTTGTGCCTTCTCTTCTTGCTGGCTGGCCACGCCGACTCTGCCCTGCATGAGCCCCCCCGGCGGCCAGCGGTCCTCTGCCAGAGCCTGCATCACTCTATTTCGACCTCACCCTGGAGCCATAGCTAAATAAACCCTCTTTTCCTTTCGCAGACATTGCTGTGGGAATGCGGAGCTGACTCGAACCCTGGCTGGTGGCCGGCATGGCACGGGCCCCTCACGGTCTGTAGGAACCCTGGCTGGTGGCCGGCACGGCACTTTGAGGCTGGTGGAAGCTGTGTCCTTGTGAACTGGGACCTGCGCAGTGCGGCTGTGCTCCCAGGCCTGGCTTTCCCCAGGAGCTGCTCACAGCACGGGCCCCTCACGGTCTGTAGGAACCCTGGCTGGTGGCCGGCACGGCACGGGCCCCTCACGGTCTGTAGGAATCCTGGCTGGTGGCCGGCACGGCATGGGCCCCTCACGGTCTGTAGGAACCCTGGCTGGTGGCCGTGTCCTGGCCGAGACAGGAGGCCTGAGCTCCTCCCTCTGGAGAAGGCAGCTTCCTTCCTCCACGTCTTCTTTTCAAGACCTACTTATCTGAGTGGCAGGAGAAGCAGACAGGCAGGTATTTTCCATCCACTGGTTCACCTCCCAGAAGGCCACCGCAGCCAGTGGGCAGACTAGGCTGAAGGGGAGCCAGAAGCCAGGACTCCACCTGAGTCGCCCACAGGGACGGCAGGGACTCAGCACTTCAGCACTACCCACTGCTTCCCAGGTGCAGCAGCAGGGCGCAGCATCACAAGTAAACTAGCTGGGACGCGAAGCAGCTCTCCAAGACGGATGCCTATGCAAGCGGCAGCTTAACCTACGCGCCACAGCACTGGCCGTGCCGAGACCTCCCGTGCCCTTTTTCGTACAGAATTCTGTCCTTTTAATCTCAGACGTCATCTCTTCGTCCCAGGTAAGTCAGTCAGGCCTCCTGCGACATGCTAGTCTCCATTTCCTCCTCCACCGCCTCTCACCACTGCCGCCACCTTCCTCACTGCACTGAAGGGATGAGCGCGGCAGCTCTTCGTCTCCACCCACCAACGCTGCACCAGCTCGGCAGCCCGGTGGGTCCTGCCAGGGCGACGCTGCCATCCAGGCTGGGCAGCGTGAGCTCAAACGTAGGACAAAGTCAGATGTTTCGTGATTCTTATTTCCTTTCAAAGTAACGGCTTTGGTGTTGTCCTTTTCATTTTCTTACTTTGTTTTCCCTTCTGAGAGGCAGGCAGACACACATACACCCTATCTGCTGGTTCACCCCCAAGCCCCAGATGCCTACGACAGCCTGGGCTGGGCCAGGCCAGAGCTGGGAGCCGGGAACTCACTCCGGGTCTCTCACGGGTCGGGACGCAGGCACTCGAGTGACCACCTGCTGCCTTCAGGACCTGCATCAGCAGGCAACCGGCGTCAGGAGGGGAAGTCGGAATCCAGCCACGTACTTCAGTGTGGACACGGCACCTTCTTTCCTTCTAAGATTTATTTATGGGACCGGCACTATGGTGCAGTGGGTTAATGCCCTGGCCTGCAGTGCCGGCATCCCATATGGGTGCTGGTTCAAGACCTGACTGCTCCACTTCTGATCCAGCTCTCTGCTCTGGCCTGGGAAAGCAGTAGAAGATGGCCCAAGTGCTTGGGTCCCTGCACCCATGTGGGAGACCTGGAAGAAGCTCCTGGCTCCTGGCTTCGGATCAGCACAGCTCCGGCTGTTGTGGCCAACTGGGGAGTGAACCAGTGAATGGAAGATCTCTCTTTCTCTCTGCCTCTCCCTCTCTCTCTGTGTAACTCTGATTTGCAAATAAATAAATAAATATTTTTTTTTTAAGATTGATTGATTTGAAAGGCAAAGGACAGAGAGAGGCAGGGACACACAAAGAGAGAGAGAGAGAGAGAGAGAGAGAGAGAGAGAGAGAGAGAGAGAGAGAGAGAGAGAGAGAGAGAGAGAGAGAAGGGGATCTCTTCCATTTGCCAGCTCACTCTCCTAAAGCAACAGCCAGGATCAGACCACGCCGAAGCCAGGAGCCTAGAGCTCCATTCTGGTCTCTTTCGTGAGTGTCATGGACACAAGCACTTGAGCCTGTGGCTTACCAGATGCATCAGCAGGAAGCTGGACAGGAGCCAGTGCTCTGACGAGGGATGCAGATGTCCAAGCCGTGGCCTAACCTGCTGTGCCCCAACGCCTGCCCTGGCAAGGTCATCTGAGCTGCTGTTTTCACTGCCACATCAAATGCCTGTGCTCGCTGCCTGCCGAATTTTCCACACCAGGTGACAGGTGAGGGCTGTGTGACACACAGGCTAAGCACTTACCTCCCATGCAGACTCAGCGTGTGGACTCAACACGCCTGGCCTCCAGGGGTACCAGGAAATGGCTGGGTCACAAACTCCCCTTTACCCCAACTCTGCCACTGTAAACTCTCCAGCTGATTTTCCTCCTGAAGCTTCCACTGTGCCAGCTCTTTCAGAAAGCCCAAATCTAGGGGCCGGTGCTGTGGCGCAGCAGGTTAACACTTGCCCCCTCCACTTCTAATCCAGCTCCCTGCTGTGGCCTGGGAAGGCAGTGGAGGATGGCCCAAGTCCTTGGGCCCCTGAAAATGCATGGGAGACCCAGAATAAGCTCCTGGCTCGGGATCGGCGCAGCTCCGGCCATTGCAGCCAATTGGAGAGTGAACCAGTGGATGGAAGACCTCTCTCTCTCTCCCTGTCCTCTCTCTGTGTAACTCTGACTTGCAAATAAATAAATCTTAAAAAAAAAAAAAAAAAAGAAAAGAAAAAAGAAAAAGAAAGCCCAAGTCTAAGTAAATTCAAACATCACGATTTGCATATAATTTTTTTTTTTGATAGTAAGAGAGAGAGACAGAGAGAAAGGTCTTCCTTTTGCCATTGGTTCACCCTCCAATGGCCGCCACGGCTGGCGCGCTGCGACCGGCACACCGCGCTGATCCGAAGGCAGGAGCCAAGTGTTTCTCCTGGTCTCCCATGGGGTGCAGGGCCCAAGCACTTGGGACATCCTCCACTGCACTCCCGGGCCACAGCAGAGAGCTGGCCTGGAAGAGGGGCAACCGGGACAGAATCCGGCGCCCCGACTGGGACTAGAACCCGGTGTGCTGGGATTAGCCTGGTGAGCTGCGGCGCCGGCCTTGCATATAACTTAAAAGGGGTATTTTACACAGATGACAATGATAGCCTTTATGCAGGTTCCTCTTACACAACAAAAACTATTTAAACATGCACTTCCCCAAGCCCAAGGGAACACCTTCACCTGACAGCCTCGGTGGCTCAGTCCACCGTGAACTCATCAAGAGCGTCCTCACCTCAATCACGTAGCCGATGTACTCGATGACGTGTCCATTGTACTCCTGAGTTTTTAAAATCAGCTTATCACCTAGTTAGAAGACACATTACCAGGTATAAGCAAGATAAAATGGCAAACTTCCGCTGCTCTACTGTAACACCGAGCACTGAGGAACTAACAAATAGAGGGAACGTCACGGGTCAGCTGCTGAGAAGCCGAGCCAACCCGACAGGAAACGCGCTCCCCAGCTCTCAGCGGGCACAGACATTGTGACCCGGAGGGAGAAAAGGAGTAACGAACGAGCTGTCAGTCAGACGCACGGCCCCCCAGCGTGGTGTGTGCGCTGGAACAGGACAAGTGACAGTCACACCTGCATACAGGGAAGGCCTGCTCTCTGCCAGCCCTGGGACCTCCAACACCAGCAGGTCCCCATTCCTCTTCAGGGTGACTCCACTCATGTTATATTCTTTCAGTTCTATTTCTGCATGAATCTCCTCAAGCCACAGCAAAGTGGAAAACTTCTCTTTATAGTTTGACATGTTCAAAAGCTGAAAAACACAACATATGAATCAGCAAGTCAGTGAGAGCAGAGCATCAGGTGAACCACATTCAGGCCTAGGGAAAGGTGGCTGTGGGGGCAGGGCAGGGACAGCGGATGGCAGTGTGGCCAGCAGGCAAGAGCTCCTGGTCAGCCTTGGACCACCTCACTGGAGAATGGACCACTGAACGTTTTAACCATTTAGACTCAAAAGCTCCAGAGCTGCACACTTCCTAGAAGTCCAGGAAGGAAAATGTTTGCTGAACTTGTCATTTCTGGGAGGTTCTTTTTGTTTTATGAAGATTTTTATTTATTTGAAAGGCAGAGTGACACAGAGAATAAAATTGATATCAATATTCCATCTGCTGGTTCACTCCCCAAATGGCCACAATGGCCCAGACTAGGCCAAGCCAAGACCAGCAGCCAAGAACTCCATTGAAATCTCCCACATGGGTGGCAGGGCCCAAGCACTTAGGCCATCCTCGGCTTTCCCATGCCATTAGCAGGGAGACAGATCAGAAGTGGAGCAGCCAGACTCAAACCAGCACTTCAATTCAGGATACCAGTATCACAGGTTTAACCCACTGTGCCACAGCTGGTCCTCTGGTAGGCTTATATGTAGGGGTTTTCCGGACATCTTTATGCCATTATTTTTAATATAATTTCCTTGTAGTTTTGGTATAGATTTCATATGTTCGAATCCTTTTCCATTTATTAACATTTGTTTCATGGCCCAGGATATGGTCTATTTTGGTAAACATTCCTTGTATACTTCTACCTTTTAATGATAAAAGATACTCAACCAAATAGAAATAGAAGGAATCTGCTTCAAACTAATTCAGAAATTCTGGGAAGAGCCCACAACAGGCATCCTCCTCCCTGGTGAGCCTGACGCTACTTCCTCTGAGGTCAGGAACGGGGAGGAAGCCCACTTCACTTCTTCAATCCGACCAAAGACTGGGAGCCCTGGCCAGGGCAGTCAGGCGAGAAACAGGAAGGAAAGGGCACCCACGTTGGCAATGGGGAAGCCAAACCATGTGTATCTGAAGACGACATAATTTTATTACATGAAAAACCCGGAAGGTTCCACAACACAGGATCTGTTAGAATACATGAATTCAGCAAAGCAGCAGGACACACAATCAAAAAACAAGAACCACCTGCGTTCCTGAACACTCACCACGAGCAATCCCAACAGAAAAGCACGAAAGCGATTCCATGCACAGCAGCACCAAAGCCATCAAGTTCTCAGGGACAGATTTAACCGCAGAGTTAAGACCTGTGCGGGGGAGCCACACACGCTGAGAGAGACATCCAAGCAAAAGCTCCATGACCACGGAACAGAGGGCTCAGTGCTGACAAGGCGTCCACACCACCCAGAGACCAACAGATTCGATGCAATCACTTTTCAAATTCCAGTAACTTTTTTTTTTTGCAGAAATAGAAAAACCCACATAAGAATTCATATGGAATCTTAAGGGACCCTGAATAGCTAAAACAGTTTTTAAAAAAGAACAGAAGGAACCCCACTTCTTCAGTTCTAAAGTTACAAGGTTACAGTCATCAAAACAGTGTCCTATGGCGTAAGGCAGACATACAGACGAATGTAGTCAACTGATTTTCACAATGGTGTTAAGACCACACATGAGGGGGCCAGTGCTGTGGCATAGCAGGTAAAGCCACTGCCTGCAGTGCCAGCATCCCATATGGATGCCAGTTCAAGTCCCAGCTGCTCCACTTCCTATCTAGCTCTCTGCTATGGCCTGGGAAAGCAGTAGAAGGTGGACCAAGTCCTTGGGCCCCTGCACTCACGTAGGAGACCTGGAAGAAGCTCCTGGCTTTGGATTGGCGTGGCTCCAGCCATTGCGGCCATCTGGGGAGTGAATCAGCAGAAGGAAGATCTCTCTCTCTCTCTGCCTCTAACTCTGCCTTTCAAATAAATAAATAAATGTTTAAAAAAAAAAGACCACATATGGAGAAGCAGTCTCTTCAACAAACAGTGCTGAGAAAACTGGATATCCATGAAGCCCTCACCTACACATCATACAAAAATCGACTCAAAATGGATCAGAGACCAAAATTTAAAATCTAGAAAACTCTTAGAAAAAAACAGAGGAACAGGGTTGGCATCTGGCCTGGTGGTTAAGTGGCGCCCCTTATGCTCCCGATTCCAGTCCTGCTAATCTGAGGGCAGCATGTGACAGCTCAAGTGACTGGGACCTTGCCACACCCACGGGAGACCTGGACTGAGTTCTCAGCTTCCAGCTTCAGCCTGTCCTCCCCAGCCCCACCTCCTGGCCCCCAGCTGTTGGAGGCTTTTTGCAGATGGGGAGGGATAGGGAAGCATTCTCTCACCCGCAGAAAAAAAAAAAAAATTTTTTTTTTTTTTTTTGACAGGCAGAGTGGACAGTGAGAGAGAGAGAGAGAGAAACAGAGAAAGGTCTTCCTTTTGCCATTGGTTCACCCTCCAATGGCCGCTGCGGCCGGCATGCTGCGGCCGGTGCACCGCGCTGATCCGAAGGCAGGAGCCAGGTGCTTCTCCTGGTCTCCCATGGGGTGCAGGGCCCAAGTACTTGGGCCATCCTCCACTGCCTTCCCGGGCCACAGCAGAGAGCTGGCCTGGAAGAGAGGCAACCGGGACTAGAACCCGGGGTGCTAGCGCCGTTAGGTGGAGGATTAGCCTAGTGAGCCGCGGAGCCGGCCAAAAAAAATTTTAAAAAGCACAGGGGCTGGCATTGTGGTGGTGAAGGTCAAGCCATGGCCTGTAGCACCAACATCCCATATGGGCTCTGGTTTGTGTCCTGGCTGCTCTACTTTCAATCCAGCTCCGTGCTAATGGCCTGGGAAAGGCAGAAGATGGCCTGATTACTTAGCCCCCTGCTACCCACATGGGAGACCTGGATGAAGCTCCTGGCTTTGACCTGGCCCAGCCCTGGCCATTACAGCCATCTAGGGAGTGAATCAGCAGATGGAAGCTCTGTCTCTCTTTCAAATAAATAAATAAATAAATAGTTTAAAAAAAACTACAATGAGATGCCAGTTCACATTCACTAAGACAACCAGGAAATAAGTGCTGGTGAGGATATGAAGACGTGGAACTCTGTGTGCCACTGGCAAGGGTGTAAAACAGCACGGCCTCAGTGGAAAACAGTGTGTGCGGCTCCTCAGAAAATCACCTATGATCCAGCAATTCCATTTTCGGGTATGCACCCAAAAGAAGGGAGAGCATGGTCTCACAGACCTCAGGCTCCTAGCAGCTAAGACGTGGAGACAACCCAGTGTCCATCAGAGATGAGCAGACGAGCCGTCTACACGCTGTAGCTGTCTACACACCATAGCCGTCTACACACCGTAGCGGTATCAGCCTCCATGCTACAGCACAGATGAACCCTGAGGACATTATGCCAAGTGAAATAAGCCAGCCACAGGAGACTCAGGGGAGGGTCCCACACTGTCCAATCCACAGAGAGCGGAAGTGTGGGTGCCAGGGATTGGGGGTGGGGGAGTTATGGTCTAACAGGAACAGAGTTGCGGCTTATTTATTTATTTATTTTTGACAGGCAGAGTGGACAGTGAGAGAGAGAGAGACAAAGAGAAAGGTCTTTCTTTACCATTGGTTCACCCTCCAATGGCCGCTGCAGCCGGCGCACCACGCTGATCCGAAGGCAGGAGGCAGGTGCCTCTCCTGGTCTCCCGTGTGGGTGCAGGGCCCAAGCACTTGGGCCATCCTCCACTGCACTCCTGGGCCACAGCAGAGAGCCGGCCTGGAAGAGGGGCAACCAGGACAGAATCCGGCACTCCGACCGGGACTAGAACCCGGTGTGCTGGTGCCACAGGCAGAGGATTAGCCTAGTGAGCCGCGGCACCGGCCTATTTCATTATTTATTTTTGCTGTTGCTTTTTGAGTTTCAGTTTTACACAAGGAAGCATTCGGCGGGTGCACAGTGGTGATGGCCGCACAGCACTATGTACTTAGAGCCAGGGAACCACGCCCTCAAAAATGGCGAAAGGGTGGTAAGTTCACAAGTATCTTACCACAATGAACAACACACACAGCGTTTACCAAAGCTTTGCTCGTAACTGCCAGAACTTGATGCCTTTCCACAGGCAATGGATGAAGGACTGTGGCCCATCCGATGAAACAGCATCCAGCACCCAACCCAATGTGCGTGCTGAGGAGGACCCCCCTGGAAGGGCTCTCGCCCAGGAGCCTGCAGGACACCCTGAACAAGGCAGAGCTCTGGCAGGGGTGGGGGGGAGGATGAACGGGCAGGGCACTGAGCCCGTGCATGACAATGCAGCGGTGTACACTACGCCAGGAGCAAAACCCTAGTGAAAACCATGCAGTCAGGCTGATCACCGAGTGTTACAGTGGGTTCATCAGTTGTAGCCAACACACCACAGTGGGGGCGCTGACAGCGGGGCAGGGAGGGCACTGGGCACCTTCCTCTCAAGCGCATCACAGCAAAGGGCACTGCTGTGTGGACATCCAACAGAGCAGACCTGACAGCCAAGAGCCGTGCCGGGTAAGGGCCGAGACACTTCACACGGAACGGCGCTGGGTCCAGCTCATGTACCAAACTAAAGCTTCAGTGTCAGATGTTAAGATGGAAAGAACAAGGGGGACCAGGCAAACAGAGTTGGGGTCTCATGTCCCCTTCCTGAGAAGCAGAACAAGCAGACAGAAACTAAGGACACAGAGGACTACAACAGTAGCAGCACACGGGGCCTCACTGACAGCGTGAACATCCCAACAGGCGGCAACACATACTCTCCTCCAGGACACAGGGTGAAACACCCCAACACACACTCTCCTCCAGGACACAGGGTGAAACACCCCAACACACTCTCCTCTAGGACACAGGGTGAAACACCCCAACACACACTCCTCCAGGACACAGGGTGAAACACCCCAACACACACTCCTCCAGGACACAGGGTGAAACACCCCAACACACACTCTCCTCCAGGACACAGAGTGAGACACCCCAACACACACTCTCCTCCAGGACACAGGGTGAGACACCCCAACACACACTCTCCTCCAGGACACAGGGTGAGACACCCCAACACACACTCTCCTCCAGGACACAGGGTGAGACACCCCAACACACACTCTCCTCCAGGACACAGGGTGAGACACCCCAACACACACTCTCCTCCAGGACACAGGGTGAGACACCCCAACACACACTCTCCTCCAGGACACAGAGTGAGACACCCCAACACAACTCTCCTCCAGGACACAGAGTGAGACACCCCAACACACACTCTCCTCCAGGACACAGGGTGAGACACCCCAACACACACTCTCCTCCAGGACACAGGGTGAAACACCCCAACACACTCTCCTCCAGGACACAGGGTGAAACACCCCAACACACTCTCCTCCAGGACACAGGGTGAAACACCCCAATAGGCAGCAACACACACTCTCCTCCACGATACAGGGTGAAACACCCCAACAGGCAGCAATACACATAAACACACTCTCCTCCAGGACATAGGAGCACTGAGCACAACAGACCACACCAATAAACGCAAAAGGATGCAAGCCAGAGTGTGAACAGCATAAACATTCCCAGAGGTGCCCAGCTCAACGGACTTTGCATCCGAGGGGCACCTCTGCTCCTCACAGGCTACACAGGACACTGTTCAATGTTTACAAAGCCTTTGTAACTTCAGTGTGTTGTCCCTGCCCCTCCCTCCTGCAGGCCCAGAGGCTGCTGGCCCCAGCTCCACTCTGCCTCGGCCCCCTCTTGAGTGCCCACATGGCTACTCTCTCCTCCACGGATCTGGAGAGCGACTCATCAACAACAATGCAGACAGGGAGGGGAGGATTCCTGCCCTGCTTCTGATCACGGTGAGGGGGCATGCTCCCCAGGTGCCCCTCTGCATGTGCCCTGGGGGCTGAGCTGTGTTGGTGAGGGGCTGAAGCCTCCACCCAGAGCAGTGCTTGCTCTGACGAGCGGCTGGGCTGCAGCTGAGGGCTCGGATGACGAGGCTGCAAGGCCCTGGCAGTGGGACCACCAAGGCGAGGGCTCCTCTCCTCATCCCCAGCTGCCTGAGGCAAGAACAAGCCTGTACGAGGCACCAATCTGAGAAAGCATCAACCACTTCTCCTGGAAAACAACTCGAGTGTGAGGAGTGCAGACCCCACCAGCTACAGAGCCTCTCCCACCTCTGCAAGCATTGGCTGGAAGGTCAGGACGTCAATCTTCTGCTCCACGCACTTTTTAAGTCTGTCTGGTATCGGGTACTGCGGGAGAAAGCTTGGAAGCTGTCGTCTTGAGTTCCTTAAAAAAAAAAAAAAATTCACAAGCTAAACCCGTTTCATCACCAGGCAAGCATCACGTGTCAGACATCGCACGCACGGAGACGTCCTCTCCTGCTCAGGGCCACAGCTCAACTCCGGGAGGCACTGACACACGAGCCGCCGGCCCAAGTCAGCGGCAGCTCCGCCTTCAGCCCTGGAGTCCTCCCCTCATCGAGCACAGGCCGGCTTCTCCGCTCCGTGCGCAGGCGGCAGAGCTGCTCTGGCTCACGGGGAGCGTGGCTGCAGTCCAGGAGCCTCGTGGAGTCCAAGCTGTTCAGCCACGGAGTCAGCTCCTCCTGCTGCTGCACCGTGTGGACACTCCCCCCGTCAATGCCAAGAGCACCCAGTGAGAGTGGCCCTGTCTGGCCCCTGCCTCCCCCGCCTGTCAATCCCCTGGGCAACTTCACTTCCCCCTCAGGCTGCACTCCCCTTTGAAGGGCTGTGGTGGGAGTCACTGAGGTCTGCCAGGGGCAGGATGAGGACGGCTGAGCTGGCGGGGACAGGTCTAACGCAGCAACGGAGGAGAGGAAGGAAGAACCGGGGAGAAGGAAGCTGGGTGAGACCCGGGAAGCTGAGGAGACTCGGCTGCCAGCCCAAAAACCCACTCCCTCCCACTACTCCCCTACTCCCCCCAACTCCTCACTTCAGTCTGGGGTCTGGAAGAGGGGAGGGCACACTTCCAACCTCCTTACTCTTCACGTGTCGCCTCCCCTCAGCACACACTGCAGCCCACCCTGCAGACACCACTGAGCACCTGGGTGTCGTCACCCCCACCCTGTGATTTATGGAGCGTACGTGTGACATGTACACACACAGGGCAAAGGTCCTGAGAAGACACGCTGGCTTAGGAAAACACAGCTGTGCACCGTGGAAAGGCACAGGCACAAGGCAGCCTCCCGGTGAACACGTTCTGTGTGGGCAAGGACTGGCCAAGCCCCGGTTCAGCCTGAGCTGGGGGTCCTGGCAGGATGTGCGGCCAGCAGCAAGCGTCCACCACCACGCGTGGACAGGCCCAGACACTCAGTGTTCCAGGCACACCCAAGCCAACCAGGATCTGGGCCTCCTACACCCTTGCTCACAGACGATGCCAAGCAGTGACATGCTCCTATTCAAAGGGAAGTCACTGACCAGGGAGTGAAGCGCTTGTGGTGGCTGTAGGAACCCAACCTGCTGCCTCCCAGGACCTGTGCTCGAGGAAGCTGGAGCCAGGAATGGGACAATGTGGGACACAGATCCTGCTGAGCCAAATGCTAGCTAGAAAGTCACTTGGTGCAGCATTAGATGAGAATCAGGGGTTTGCAAAGGCTCCGTAATTAAAAACCCTATCACCTGGGACTCTGCTATCTCCTAGGCCATGGCTGGAGTCTGCCTGCATGTGACCAGCGGTCACTCTCATTGATGAGAGTGGCCGCCCAGCACTGGGAAACTGTACTGTTTCGCCCTCTTGGGCCTCAAATGACACAACGCAAGGACACCCATTCACACGCAGACGAAGGCTTGGAGGTGAAGACGCCCAACATCACTTAGCTCCTTGGTGGCAGGGCTGGCTCAGCAGCGTTCACCAGCATTAAAAAAGCACGCACTGCCTCGCTGTCTGAAGCTTAATGGAGGGCCATAATCCCTGCCTTCAGTCTACCACTGGGACAGCATGTGGTGTGAGATTCAGAATTCCCACTATTTGAAAAGTGACAGCCAGTGCCACAGCTCACTAGGTTAATCCTCCGCCAGCGGCGCCTGCACCCCGGGTTCTAGTCCCGGTTGGGGCACTGGATTCTGTCCCGGTTGCTCCTCTTCCAGTCCAGCTCTCTGCTGTGGCCCAAGAAGGCAGTGAAGGATGTCCCAAGTGCTTGGGCCCTGCACCCACATGGGAGACCAGGAGGAAGCACCTGGCTCCTAGCTTTGGATCAGCACAGTGCACCAGCTGCAACGTGCCAGTCATAGCAACCACTTGGGGGGTGAACCAACGGAAAAAGGAAGACCTTACTCTCTCTCTCTCACTGTCTGACTCTGCCTGTCAAAAAAAAAAAAAAAAAAAAAAAAAAAAAGAAAAGTGACACACTGCCTGTATTCTAAGGCAGCCCCTGAGCCCAGGCCCACATCTTAACGGTGGGAGAAGAATATCCACAGTACCTTCAAGTAAACTTACGAAGCACCCTCACACGGCGGCAAACTTAAAGCAACAAGCAGGCGGGAAACGTGGGTGTGAAGAGCAAAGATCACACCCAGTTAAGACCTGGGTGGCCCCAGGTTCCAAGCCAAACGTCACCAGAACGCAGGTCACTCTCTCCACTGTACTCCTGGATGGACTGTGTCTTACCTTCAGAACAAGCGTCCTGGTACTGCACCTGAGCCACGCTGAGCTGATGCGGAGGGCGCTGCAGCCAGCCCTGCCCGGGAGCCCGGGAGGCTGGGAGGCCAGCAGGAGCCACGGGCGAATCCTGCCCTGCTCCGAGCCGCCCCGAGACTGCGGGGCTCAGTGGGACCGGACAGCGCAGGCACCTCCTCTGCACACTGCTGTGGAGCCCCAGGAATGGAGCCCACCCACCCAGCTTTCATGGAAACACACCTCCTGCCCCCAAGACAGTCATGAAAAGAGGCTCAACTCCCCCCGCAAGGGTGGGGACCCTCCTGCCAGGAGCCGCGTGCCTCGTCTCCGACACACTGAAGGCCACATGCTCACTGCACTCACACACCTCTTCTGTGTGGTCACAACAACTGTGGTCTTTGTGGGCGCCAAAGCCTGGCAGCTTTTAGGTTTTTTCCAAGAAAATGGCTCGCGGACAGCAATGAGGGACTCCTCAGCACTCACGACGCTGACTTCAAGGTGTCGCCCAATGAGGAAATTCGAAAAACACAGTAAAAGGAGCTCCTTGCAGCGGCCAGGATTTCTTGAAAAAACGAAATTAAAATTAGCTTCAGTCACACCTAAGACAGGCAGATACAGGTACAGAGAAATTCACAACGGCTCTCAGCTTTCCATTTCATTTTTCAGAGAAAAGGAGACTTTCTAAGATACGTGATCCAACACCGTCCCAAGGTAAAATAGTCTTTTCTCTGCCTCTCAGCCTTGCTGGGAAAAGTGCTTTCATTATCCCCAGGTTCCTATCACAGCTGCACAACATGACCAAAGATGTGCCCCACTTGCTGCCATGGCTCACCTGTGGCAACACCGCCACTGCTCTGCCTGCGTCTGCAGCGCCTTGGAGCGCAGCCCGAGCCAGGGCAGCAACCGCCACGCTGCCTGCCTGCCTGCCTGCCTGCCAGTCACCCACGGCTTGATTCTGACAAGCATGAGGGTGGTGATTCAATGGGGCTTACTTTTTTTAAAAAAAAGATTTCGAATTACATGGATTTTGATGACTGAGGAGAGATGAGCAGACCTGGGGCCCAGAAGCCCACCGGCAGGTGACCACACACTTCTGAGCAGCCCCAGCAGCGGCAGTGGGAAGAGGAAGGCAGCTGGGGACCAGTGCGGGAGGGACAGCGGAGCTCAGGCCCCTGCTCCGTCATGCTCCTGGGGCACACTGTGCTGTCTTGGCCGGGAAACAGGAGCAGCCGTGGCGGTGGGAAGGGCTTGGAAGCAGAGGCTGGCACTCCTGCCACGCACGCTTCGTAGGCGCTCTGCGTTTTCTGTGAACGTGGGTCAGGCCATCAGACCACAGCGGCTGTTGCCTCAGGCAGGCAGCACTCGCGCATTTTCTAGACCCATGATTTTTCTCATGATTTTGTCATACTAAAACAGTCATGAGTAGTTTATAACACCCAGCTTACAAGTATTATACATTAAATATAAAAAGGAAAATGTGCAAATGTCCCCAAAGGAAGGTCTCTCCAGACCCCAAGTCACGTACTTTGCATCACACACCACCATGATGCAGGTTTTCCCCCCTGGGGGGACAAGCTCCCCAGGCTCAGCATCTGCCACCTGCTTCTCTGAGGCAGTGTTTTCCTTCTCTCTGTCTTCACAGGTACAGTCACCTGGGAATCAAATTTAAATCCATAATTAGACCAAAAGAAAAGTTATTCCTCGTAGTACTAGGATGCTGGGGAAGTGCATCCTCAGACACCAGCCGAGCAGGCAGAGAGGAAACTGACCTACCCAGAGGCTTCCTGGGACCTGGGAAGACTTGGGCTCTGCAGCGGCCCTGGGCTGCCTGGCCTACCTCCCTGACATGGACACACCCAGGGAGCAACTGCCATGGAGGCAGTGGCTGGCACTTAACAAGCTGGCTTTGCCCCTCTCCTAGTCCCAAAACAGTGACAAGAAGGACCCAAGGGGCTGGCGCTGTGGTGTAGCGGGTAAAGCCAGTGCCTGCAGTGCCGGCGTCCCATATGGGTGCCGGTTTGAGACCCAGCTACTCCACTTCCGATCCATCTCTCTGCTATGGCCTGGGAAAGCAGTGGAAGATGGCCCAAGGCCTTAGGCCCTTGCACCCGCGTAGGAGACCTGGAAGAAGCTCCTGGCTTTGGATCAGCACAGCTCCAGCCGTTGCAGCCATCTGGGGAGTGAACCAGTGGATGGAAGACCTCTCTATCTGCCTCTCCTTCTCTGTGTGTAACTATGATTTTCAAGTAAAATAAATAAATCTTTAAAAAAAATAAAAACAGGGGCCAGTGCCATGGCACAGTAGGTTAATCCTATGCCTGAGGCGCCAGCATCCCATGTGGGCGCCGGTTCTAGTCCCGGCTGCCCCTCTTTCAGTCCAGTTCTCTGCTATGGCCTGGGAGAGCAGTGGAGGATGGCCCAGGTGCTTGGGCCCCTGCGCCCATGTGGGAGACCCGGAGGAGGCTCCTAGATCCTGGCTTCAGATCGGCACAACTCTGGCCATTGAGGCCATCTGGAGAGTGAACCGGCAGAGGGAAGACCTTTCTCTGTCTCTGCCTCTCACTGTCTGTAACTCTACCTCTCAAACAAATAAATAAATTTCTTAAAAAAAAAAAAATAAAAACAAAAAACAAAAAGAAAGGTCCAAAACCAAAGAGCTAGGAGCTCAAAGAGCTGCAATGGCCAGTGGCCGTGGTAGCCACTGCTGCCCATTTCCCTCTGCCAGGGCTCGAGGCTGACCCCAGAGCTCACCTCAGCCCACCCGGCCCTGTGCGGCAGCAGTGGAACCATTTACCTGGAAAGACTTCTCCGCTGCTCACCGCGATGCCCTTCAGCGGCTGGTGGGTGTTGTTTTCGCTGCGGCTTTTGAACGACTCAGTACTTTCATCAGAAAAATCCTTGGCCTCCTCAGGAACAGAAACAAGAGATACAGCTGGGCGTGCTTGGTCTTGGAATCTGAATTGTTTAGCTTTATCCCAGCCTGCCAGCTTGCAGCTGACTAACTTCTGAGCAATGTCCCCTTTATTCCTGGAAACAGAAAATCAGCCATCATCATGAGACAGGCTACTCTAGAACTAAAACATCCAGTTACCACAAAACCTAGAATTCGGGTCTGGCGCTGTGGTGTAGCGGGTAAAACTGCTGCCTGCAGTGTCGGCATTCCATATGGGTGCCGGTTGGAGTTCTGGCTGCTCCACTTCTGATCCGGCTCTCTGCTATGGTCTGGGAAAGCAGTAGAAGATGGCCCAAGTGGCGCTGGGTCCCTATACCCACGTGGGAGACCCGGAGGAAGGTCCCAGCTCCTGGCTTCAGATCAGCACAGCTCTGGCTGCTGGAGCCAACTGGGGAGTAAACCAGCGGATGAAGACCTCTCTCTCTCTCTCTTACAAATAAATAAATCTTCTTCTTTTTTTTTTTTTTTTTTTTTTGACAGGCAGAGTGGATAGTGAGAGAAAGAGAGACAGAGAGAAAGGTCTTCCTTTTACCGTTGGTTCACCCTCCAATGGCCGCCGCGGCTGGCGTGCTGCGGCCGGCGCACTGCACTGATCCGAAGGCAGGAGCCAGGTGCTTCTCCTGGTCTCCCATGGGGTGCAGGGCCCAAGCACTTGGGCCATCCTCCACTGCCTTCCCGGGCCACAGCAGAGAGAGCTGGCCTGGAAGAAGGGCAACCGGGACAGAATCCGGCGCCCTGACCGGGACTAGAACCCGGTGTGCCTGTGCCACTAGGTGGAGGATTAGCCTATTGAGCCACGGTGCTGGCCAAATAAATCTTAAAACAAAACAAAACAAAGCCCTAGTATTCAAGTTCAAGTATGGCAGCTGCAAATGCCTTTAAGAATTTAAATTTAAAGGATATTTTGGGGGTAAATATTTTTGAAAAGACTTTCAGAGGAAGAAAGTACATGGTCCAAGTTATACTGAAATTCTTTAAGCCCCGCCATGTCACACTGGTGACAGCAAAGTGGCCCACTCACTCTATCCAGATCACCATTGCTTTCCTTGCGCCTTCCTTTAGCGTTCCAAAGTTTGTCATCCTCGTCACTTCAACGTTGCCTTTGTTTTTCAGTAAGAGGGTTCCATAGGACTCCTCGGGGAGCACCCCTGGGGCAGTGGCGTCTCTGAGGAGAGTGCCAGAGAAAGGTGCAGTCAGCCTCCCTGCGGCACTGCCCCCACACCCGCGTCCGACCCCGCTGACACGGCCGCCCAGCTGGGAGGGCCTCGCAGGTTCAGACTCCCTAGGGACGGCGTTCTTGCAGAAGGGGGCCGCGGACTCCGGACCCCCCAGCCTAGCGAGACCTCACCACTCCCCATCCTGGCTGCTCTGCACGAAGGGCTGAGGTCCCCTGTTCTCGCCCAGACCGCAGGAAAGGGGGCACAGTGGGCCTCACACCCGAGACCCCCCAAAACTGCCCCTGCCCAGAGAAGCCTCACCCTGAGGAACAGTCAGCACCACTTAGCACGTTTCCGTGGACACACACACGACAGCGGTCCCCCCAAGTAACAGAGCCAAACAAGCAGCGCCTGCACCACGCAGGCCACTCTATGGAACCGCCCGGCGACACGGTTCTCAGGACGCATCCCGTCGTCGGGGGCACACGGCTGCATCTGGAAACAACGCTATGACAGCGTTCTCTTCAGGAAATGAGGAGACACCCCTCGCTCCTGTGCTTCTTCAGAGGGAGCAGCTGGCACGGCCCCCCTGGCACAGCCCACTAAGACAGGGCCTGTAGGATGAGCCCACCCGCACTCGGTGACGCGGCGCTGTCCTGCTCTCCTCCTCACAGTCCTGGGCCCGTGCCACGCAGAAGCAGAGGAAGCAGAGCTGCTCACGGCATGAGGAAGGAGCAGGGGCGCTCTGGGGGGGCAGGCTGCTCTCACGTTCACTCATGCTGGGCCAGGCCGCTGTCCAGGAGGCCACTGCACTCGGTCTGGAGAGCAGGGGTGGTGGCCTGGGCTATGAGTAGAGGTCCAGTGCCCGCCGGGGGCTACAGGTCAGGCAAGCAAACAGGCAGAGCGCGTCCCTGTCCCCACGGGGCGGGGATTTCACAGCTTCTGCCCCCAGCGTGGGGCCCTGCACACACATCAGGTCAGTGAACCCTGCCCTACTTCTGGCACCACCAGGTGCAGATGGGGCTGACCTGATACCGAGGCGAGACCCTGCATTTCCCCTTCCATGAACAGGCAGGATCGCGTGGGGAAGGGGATCTGGGCACCAACTGGTCAAACTCAAGTCTCTTCAGCAGGATGAGATCAAGGCATCGCAGAGACTGCATGGCCATCTTCTGTCTAGCAACACCTCCAGATGGCTGCGGGCCTGGGCCAGGCCACCCTCTGGGGCCTCCTTTACAGACATAAGTGCCTGGCCCCTGCCCCTCGGGTCACATTGGGCCTGTCTTGTGGGCAGGATGCAGACAAAACCTCTTCCTACTCAGAACTGTGTCCCTGAGATTAAGCAGGTAGAATGATAAAGGACACATAATGAGCTCACTGGAGGCAGGTGCTAAGGAGAAAAAGCAGACAAGGAAGGTTCAAGAAGGTGGGAGCAGTTGGGGGCGGGGGGCGTTTGTGAGCATGCATGAGGAGGGGTCCTTGTGGCACAGAAAGAACAACGAAGACACAGGAAATCCAACCCCAGCAGGAAGCCACCAGGTCCCAGGAGCTTTGACAAGGCCAATACGTGAGAACAAAGGATGTGAAAACCCACCAAAGGAGGATCATCATTGTTGTGGGCTTTCCCCTGCGAAATTCACACTGAAATTTAATGCCCACTATGGGATATTAAGAGCTGGGACCAGGCTGGTGCTGTGGCATAGCAGGCTAAACCTCCGCCTGCGGGTGCCGGTTCGTGTCAAGGCTGCTCCTCTTCTGATCCAGCTCTCTACTTCCTGCCTGGGACAGCAGTGGAAGATGGCCCAAGTGTTTGGACCCCTGCACCGACATGGGAGACCCAAAAGAAGCACCTGGTTTCTGGTCAGCCCAACTCCGGCCGCTGCAGCCATTTGGGGAGTGAACCAGCAGATGGAAGACCTTTTTGTCTCTCCCTCTGTCTATCTGTAACTCTGCCTCTCCAATAAGTGTCCTTAAAAGAAAGAGCTGGGACTGGGACCTTTCAAAGGTGACTAGGGCCTGCGTCAGTCACTCCTGAGACATGCATGCGACCCAGGTATGCCTCTGCTGGGAAAGGCAGTCTGGCCAGGCCTCCACGAGCCCCGCCTCCCACCACTATGGGACTCTGGCAGCAAGGCCGTCTCTCCCTAAGTGTCCAGGCTACACACTGTGAAAGTGGACGAAGGCATCCACTGACCTAAGATCAAGGATTAGGAAGGCCCCTTCGCCTTGAACCAAGCATCAAGACTGCATCTCCTCTAACCCTCAGGCCTGGGAACACCTGCTGTCCCGGCCATCACAGCACAGCCACACACATTCTGGAAAAGGTGGTGTTAGCCAGTTCCACCGTGCAGGCACCACTGTGAAGATTCACAGCACAAACCACGCCGGCACGTCCCCACCAGGCGGGCGGCACAATCCCACGGGCCCACTCATATACACAAACCACGCCGGCACGTCCCCACCAGGTGGGCGGCACAATCCCACGGGCCCACTGCCATATACACAAACCACGCCGGCACGTCCTCATCAGGCGGGCGGCACAATCCCACGGGCCCACTGCCATATACACAAACCACGCCGGCATGTCCCCACCAGGCGGGCGGCAGAATCCCACGGGCCCACTGCCATGTACACAAACCACGCTGGCACGTCCCCACCAGGGGGCGGCAGAATCCCACGGGCCCACTGCCATATACACAAACCACGCCGGCACGTCCCCACCAGGCGGGCGGCACAATCCCACGGGCCCACTGCCATATACACAAACCACGCTGGCACGTCCCCACCAGGGGGCGGCAGAATCCCACGGGCCCACTGCCATATACACAAACCACGCTGGCACGTCCCCACCAGGCGGGCGGCAGAATCCCACGGGCCCACTGCCATACACACAAACCACGCCGGCACGTCCCCACCAGGCGGGCGGCACAATCCCACGGGCCCACTGCCATACATGCAGCCTGTCACTGACCCCAAAATGCCATTCATTATGCGATGCACGATTTCTAACTCTTTTCAAGACACTTTCTTTGGGGCCTTTCACCCCCCAGAGACATTTCATCCGCACCTGTGCACGGGGGTGAGACACAGCGCCCTCCAGACGTAGCATGACTGGCTGCTCTCCACCACCACCGCGCTGACGACATCGTGTCTGCGAGGCGTGTACCCCTCAGGCAGCTTCAGGGAGTCCAGGGTGAAGAAGATGCTGTCCTCGATGACCCCGTTCCTCCCGCAGAGGCTGGAGATGCAGGCCTGTGAGCACAGCCCCAGCGTCACAGGCTGCTCACACCCCAGTCACGGCCCAACCTGGGGGGTGGCAGCTGACCTTGGGGCAGAGGCACACACAGGGGTCTAGGCGGCTGGCGTGACGGAAGGGGCAGAGAGGGCTGTGGTGGCTGACTCACGCCCCTGCACCGTGCCCCCTCCATCCTCACCCCCAAACCACAAGGAAGCTCAACTCCCACTGCGCTCACAGTCTTGTCCTTAGAGGTCCTGACCCTTGCACATCGACTGTGTAACCTGGAGCTGCATCTGCGAGCTCCCAGGGCTGGTTTCTGTCCCCTTATGGGACACAGCACTCTTATAAGGAAATGAACTCCTCTCTGGCCAAGACTGAGCTTTTCAAGAGTCTAGGTTCCCAGCACACCTAGAACAGGCCTGGCCTGGGAAAATCCCTGCTGGCAGATCTGGGCAAACACAGGCAGAGCCATCTGTCCACACGCTACCTTGTCCACGCGCTTGTACCTCAGCGGCTTTACTGAGATGGCCTCGCTGCTCCAGGTGCCTGGCCGGATCCAGTACTCCGCCTCCACCCAGTCTCCCTTGCAGGGCTGGAAACCTGAAAGGCCAGGACACCCTGCAGTCAGCCACTGCACCCGAGATGGTGGGTGAGTGAGACAGCCCCTCCACTTCCGGGAGAAGCCTTCAGCGGCTCAGTCCTCACCCTGTCACTCACTTCAGCGCAGCAGAGATGGTTGCCCCAGCCTGCACGTGGAGAGCTCGGGGCACCACCCCAGGACCCCATCTGTTCAGCGGAAGCTACTGCATGGGGGAAAAGCTACAGCTAGTTACCTTTGTCAGCTCGCAATAAACATGTTCAGAACAAGGTCAAAAAACAAGTGCATGACTGAACACTGAGCTTGTTTCTCAAGAAAGCTGGTGATGAAAACATGACCGAGCCCACACACACATGCTGACACCTCCACGCGACACAGCAGCCAGTCTGCCGAGACAGTGGCCTCAAGGTCAGGACACTGTTCTCTACACTATGACCTCATTTGTTAAATTATTGTTTAACACAGTTGCCAATTCTTCCCCCAAACAGTGTAGGACATATATGTAAAGGGAAGCCATGGCTGTTAACGTGCCCACTCCATGGCCACAGGAAATGAGCTGTGAAACTCAGCTTCAAGACTCAGCACTGGAGATTAAAGAGCATTCTACAGTGGCAACCTGCAGACGCCAGCCGTCCTCACTATTTAATACAGGCTACAGTAACAGTAAGATCCCTACATGTTAAGAAACCTGGAAGTCAGGCCACATCACGGAGCAGCACTGCCTGCGATGCTGGCACCCATACGGGAGCAGGTCTGAGTGCCAGCTGCTGCACTCCCTGTCAGCCCCTGCTAATGTGCATTGCCCACAGATGTGGCACCACACCCAACCACCTGAAACACAAGGGTACTTCAGAAAGCCTGGGAAATGCAATTAAAGACAAGTGCATCAGCCGGCGCCGCGGCTCACTAGGCTAATCCTCCGCCTAGCGGCGCCGGCACACCGGGTTCTAGTCCCGGTCGGGGCGCCGGATTCTGTCCCGGTTGCCCCTCTTCCAGGCCAGCCCTCTGCTGTGGCCCGGGAGTGCAGTGGAGGATGGCCCAGGTGCTTGGGCCCTGCACCCCATGGGAGACCAGGAAAAGCACCTGGCTCCTGGCTCCTGCCATTGGATCGGTGCGGTGCGCCGGCCGCAGCGCGCCGGCCGCGGCGGCCATTGGAGGGTGAACCAACGGCAAAGGAAGACCTTTCTCTCTGTCTCTCTCTCTCACTGTCCACTCTGCCTGTCAAAAAAAAAAAAAAAAAAAAAAAAAGACAAGTGCATCTTGGTGGAAAAAATCAGTGCATAGTTCTTCATGACATGCATTTCATGAACTGAGACATCTTGTAGAGATGCTGAGAAATTAAAGTATGTTAACAGGTACGAGAATACAAAGCCCGGCCGGCGCCGCAGCTCACTAGGCTAATCCTCTGCCTGCGGCTCCCACACCCCAGGTTCTAGTCCCGGTCGGGGTGCTGGATTCTGTCCCGGTTGTTCCTCTTCCAGTCCAGCTCTCTGCTGTGGCCCGGGAGTGCAGTGGAGGATGGCCCAAGTCCTTGGGCCCTGCACCCACATGGGAGAGCAGGAGGAAGCACCTGGCTCCAGGATTCGGATCGGCACAGTGCCGGCTGTAGCAGCCATTTGGGGGGTGAACCAACGGAAAAAGGAAGACCTTTCTCTCTGTCTCTCTCTCTCTAACTCTGCCTGTCTAAATAAATAAATAAATAAATAGAATACAAAGCCCAGATAATCAATGTTAAAATTATTTTTCTTTTTAAGAAAAAGATTTTTGAGGGGGCTGGCACCATGCCATAGTGGGTAAAGCCACTACCTGCAATGCCAGCATTCCATAGTCCCAGCTGTTCCACTTCTGATCTAGCTCCCTGCTAACGGGCTGGGAAAACAGTGGAAGATGGCCCAAGCCCTTGGGCCCTTGCACCCATGTGGGAGACCCAGAAGCAGCTCCTGGCTCTTGATCAGCCCAGCTCTGGCCATTGCGGCCACTGGGGGAGTGAACCAGAGGATGGAAGCTCACTCTCTCTCTCTCTCTCTCTCTCTCTCCCTCTGCCTCTCTGTAACTCTGCCTTTCAAATAAATAAATCTTAAACAGATTTTTGAAAATCATTTCATAACACTACTTTAAAAATCCACTAATACAATAAAGTCAGTTAGCCAACATACAGACACTTCAAAAATCATTTAATTAACTTTAACATCCTGTACTTGGCAAAGGTGTACTGCTGTGGACACAGACCATCTGGCCACAAGGGGGCGCCCCACAGATGCCGGGGCCTCTGTGAGGACTGAAGCCCCTGTGGGGCAGCAGGCAGGAGTGCCCACTCCACTCTTCCTCCCTGCCACTGCCCCCATTTGCTGGTGCCGTGCACGGGCACAGGCACTGGAGACTGCAGCTTAGGATGGAAGCTCTGATGATGGGTGTGGGGGTCAGCGAGACGAAAGCATGGCTGTCACACCAGTGGGCGGCCCCTGCGGGACGAGGTCTAGGCTGGGCCCTCAGGCCTCAGGCAGGGTCTCGTCTCTGGGGATGAAAAGGCCAGAGGAGACCTCTCACAATTCAGAACCCAATCCCCCACCAAAATTTAGGCCACTGGATCTCATCTAAGGGTCATCCCCCTGCCCCCCAGGGGCCACCTAGCAATGTCCCAGACATCCTAGGTTGTCATAATGGAGGGGCAGCACACTGTTAACAACCCCATCTGCACCCCCACCACACACACACACGGTCAGGCCCGTGTCAGGTGCCAAGGACAAGGCCTGACCCATTCTGGCTGCCTTCTGAATGGCTAATATTGGAAGCTCATCTAAAACCACCAGAGCCCCTCCACTAGAGCTAACAATCCCTGTCCCACTCCTGTGCGCCACCCCACAGCAGGCTGTTCTAACGTGCATGCTCCTCCAGGGACCACCTTCTGTGCTTGCTCCCCAAAGCACACCTGCGCCCCGGCTGGCCCAGTCACCACCTCACAGGGTAACCGAGGAAGGCAACGGTTAGGACAGAGCCTAACAGACTAGCTTATGGCCCTCTCTCTCTTTCTGCCACACCCATGGCTGGACCAGCCTGGTCCCAGCTCAGCCTGCACCTGCCCCACGGGGCCCAACCACTCCACTGTGGTTGAGCAGAGCAGAGACCAGAGACCAGAGACTAGGGCCACTGTGTGCCTTTACTGACATGGCCGTCCTCAGAGCAAAGTGCTCCAGACCTGTCAGCGCTGAGAAGGAAGCACACTGTTTGGGCTCTTGCTAGTAAACCAGACGTTAAGCATAACCCCTTCTCTCCTCACCTGCGGGTTATGCAGAGGTTATGCAGGAGGGGTCACAGGAACACGGCGCCCCCCCGGCTCAGGGGGTGTGGCCACTTTTGACCACACGGTTGCTGTCTCAGGGAGGGACCTCACCAGGCCCACAGGAAGGCCTCTGGCCCTGCATAAGCTGGCGGCTGGTTTCAGATTCTCGTGTATCTTTTCTCACACTGCTTCCTTCAAGAGTGCGCTGGAGGTACCAGGTCCCCTGGTTCTGCCAGCAGCCATGCTGACTCAGCACGACTCAGCCTCAAGAGCAAGCCCTCCCGTCTGAACTGCTCCTCCCTCCTCAGGCTGCACCTTCTTCCCTGCAGCTCCTGCCGACACCTGTGCAGGGACACACCAGCCTTCTCTGCCTGGATCCGCGGCCTGCTCGTGGCTGAGGGGCCTTGGCAGTCCCAGGCAGCTCCCCCAGGACCAAGGGCCCAGCTGACCAACACAGATCCTGAAACTCCAGGCAGCCACCTGTCAATTTCATTTTTGGGGAGCGCAGGGTTCCGGTCGAGGTGGGCGGGGCCGACCACCCAGACTGCAGGATGGCTCCTTGTAGGCCACACACACCCCTCAGGTGTCTGGTGGATTCAGCTGACAGCCGCTCCCAGACAGCTTTCCCGACCCCTGCTCTGTGACCACGTGCACGCAGGTGTCTCTTCTGAGGACCTGGGCCTCTCACATGAGGTCTCCCAGCGTCCAGCTCCAGACCTACCACCACAGACACCAGGGGCATGGCTAACAGCTGCTAAATTAAATACAATAAACGACAATGACATTTTTTTTTAGCAAAAAAATAAAACCTTAAGGTCAGCTAAAAAAAATGCTATTAAAAATGGGTGTACATGCTTGGAAAGGTAAACCCTATTTTAAAACCCTAGAGTGCTTTAAAAGTAACAATGCCTCCCCATTTCAAATAAATAAATAAGTAAATCTTTATTAAAAAAGTCCTACTTCATACAAACTGTTTAGAAGACATGGATCCCAATTTTAAACACAGGACAGAAATCTGCCTGGCTACCTTCACACACACTCTCCAGAGAGAAGCGCGTGGTCTGGTTGATGTAACCAGTGCCTCCCATCAGGGAAGTCACGCAGCCGATCAGCACGCGCGGGCTGGGGTCTGACAGCCCTCGGCCGGAGTTCTTGCTGTCGTCTTCCCATTTATCAGAGACAGCTTCCACCTGCAAGACAAACAGACCACTTTTAAACCACACAGGCAAAGCGCACTACAAGCCAACACCCCTGAGTCCATTTGGGCTCCAAGTCCAAGACCAAGACGCCAACAGATGCAGTCTCTGGGGAGAGCCTGGTCCTGGTACACAGAGGGCACCCTTCCCCCGAGCCCTCATGTGGTGTAAGGACCGAGGGAACTCTGTGGAATGTTCTATGAGGACACAATCCCTTTGACTAAATCCGCATCGTTTCATGTCACAGACGTGCGACAGTCTAGGAACAGGAGAAAATTTCTTCAGCATGATGCAGACTGGGAAGTCCACCGTTAACATCATACTCATTTATCAATCCACCCATATTTAAAACAAAAGGATTAAAGGTCTTGAAATGTAAAATACCATCACTCCTTCATCTTTCTGGAAAAAGATATTTTAAAACATAATAAAAACAATAAAAGTAAATAAACAAAAACAATAAAAGTAAATCCCTAATAAAAATAATTTCTTTCTCAAAAAACCACACTCGTTGTTCACAGCCTGAACCCATTTCCCCAAGGCTAGAATGCCAGCTCCTGCTGCCTACACTCAACACAGCACTGGGAGTTCTGGCTACTGCAGAGCAGTCGGATAGGAAATAGCAGGCATCCAAACTGGAAAGGAAGTGAAAGATGGCAGAACCAGAACACTCCAAAAATCCCACACACAAACACTACTCCTCCCCAAAGGGATAGAGCTAATAGATGAAGCTGGCAAAGTACAAAGTAAACACACGAAATTCAATTTTATTTCTATACACTTGCAATGAACAATTTAAAAGAAAATTCAGGAAATAATTACACTTACAATAGCATAAAAAAGAACTGAGTACTCAGGAATGAGCTTAATTAAGCAGAGATGAAAGACTTGTTCAATGAAAACTATAAAACACCAATGAATAAATAAAAGCATCTACGTTTATGAACTGAAGACATGAAATTATTTAGATGACAATCCTGCCCAAGTGAGCTAGAATCAGTGTAACCCTGTCAGAAGTTCACTCATGTATGTTCACATGAACAGAAAATCTATCGTACAATGCAAGGGACCCTGAAGAACCAAAACAGTCAGGCTGGTGCCGTGGCTCACTTGGTTAATCCTCCGCCTGTGGCACTGGGTTCTAGTCCCGGTTGCTCCTCTTCCAGGCCAGCTCTCTGCTGTGGCCCAGGAGGGCAGTGGAGGATGGCCCAAGTGCTTGGGCCCTGCACCTCAAGGGAGACCAGGAGAAGTACCTGGCTCCTGCCTTCAGATTGGCGCAGCACTAGCCATGGCAGCCATTTGGAGAGTGAACCAATGGAAGGAAGACCTTTCTCTCTGTCTCTCTCTCTGTCTATAACTCTACCTGCCAAAAAAAAAAAAAAAAAAAAGAATCACAACAAACAGTCTTGACAGGGAAGACCAAAGCTGTATAGCTCATGCTTCCTCGAATGCTGCAGCCATCCCAAGCGTGGCACTGGTGTGGAGACGTGGAGAGCAGCGGGACGGCACAGAAGGCCCAGAAGCCAGCCCTGTACGTGTGCTCAGCCGACTCCTAACCAGGGTGCCAGGGGCCTGTGCACCCACACAAAGGGTAATGGGAAACTGGTGCTCACATGCAGAATGACGCTGGGCCTCTCCTACACCACAAAGCTCCGAACGGATCGGAGATCCAAATTCCAGGGCCAAAATTACGCAACTCTTAATACACAGGGAAGCATTCATCAGTCAATTACTCCTCAAGCATGACGGCCAATAAACAAAGACAAGCAGGATTTCGCTAGTGCTGGAAGGTTCTGTGCTTCACAGGATACTACTAACAGGATGAAAACGGGGAGGCATTGGGGCCGGGTTAACCTCATGCCACTTGGGACGGCCGCAGCCCGTCAGAGCGCCTGGTCTGAGTTCCAGCCCCCCCACGTCTGCTCCAGCTTCCTGCTAACGCACCCTGGTCAAGCACTTGGGCCTCCCACGTGGGAGACCTGGATGGAGTTTCTCTCCTGGCTTTGGCCTCGCCCAGCCCTGGCAGTTGTGGGTATTTGGGGGAAGTGAATCAGAGGATCAAAAATCTCTACCTCTCTTTCAAATAAAATGAAAATATGTAAATTTAAAATTTTAGTAAAGTTTGAAAACATACCTGAAAGAACGACAAAGCACACAAATCCTATCCCTAAGAAGCGATTAATATCCGGAATACATAAGGGAATTCTTACAACTCAAAAAACATTTAAAAATGGGCAAAGGGCGTGAACAGATATTTCTCCAAAGAAGGTACGTAAACGTCCAGTGAGAACCTATCAGATGCTCAACGTCACCAGTCCTCAGGGAAATGCAGACTCAAACCACAAGACACCTCTGCACCCACTAGGAATGGCTGCTGGGGGGCAGTGAGTGCTGGCAAGCATGCGGGCGAGCAGCCCTCTGCACTGCTGCTGTGCTGGAGTCACGCGTCAGCGCAGGAGCTGCAGAAACGCGCGCAGACCACCAGCCTCCCGGCACGCTCTTGGTTTACACCAAGAAGAACCAAAAGGGGGACCACAGAGGCACTGTTCACTGCGACGACATCCACAGAGCCAGCGGCAGAGCCATCCCAGGCCGTCCAGAGATGCAGAGAGAACAGGGGCCGGAGTTCAGCCAGGAAAGGAAGGGAACTCACGAGACGCTGCAGTACCGGCAGTCCTTGAGAACACGCAGCTGAGACCGACACAAGCGGAGGAATAGTTTGTAGGATTCCACTGATGTAAGGTATTCAGAAAAAGCAAATCCACACCCACACACACACACCCACACACACACACCCACACACACACCAGAGCGGTAACTGTCTAACTGTCTAATCAGTGCACGGATTATGAAGAGAGTGGTAATAGGTATGCAAAAATGCAAATGTGCTTAGTGCCAATCAACTGTACATTTAAATGCGGCTAAAAGGATAATTTTAGGTTATATGTTTTTACCACAAAGGTAAAAATCTACATAAAAAAGGGTCCAGAAGCACTTTTAAGTACTTGATTTAAGTAGGTGCAAGTCACAATTACTAGATCAGGGCCAGCGTTTGCCTGTCACGCTGGACTGACGGAGTTCTGCTCCTGACCCCAGCTTCCTGCTGACGCAGACCCAGGAAGCAGTAGCGATGGCTCAAGTAGCTGGGTCCCTGCTACCCACGTGAAAACCTGGGTTGAATTCCCGGCTCCTAGCTTTTGCCCTCGACCACCCCAGCCATTGTGGGCATTTGGGGAGTGAAGCAGTAAATGGGTTCTCTCTCAAATAAATATTTAAAAAAAATAAAAGATTTTTCATATTAGACTGGCCAAGATTTCAAAGCTTGCTAATAGGCACATCCTGGGCAATGCTGGGTAAGAGGCATCTTTCTGCCCTGAGCACACATTAGCACAGCACTACTGGATAGTTACCTGCTAGCATTAAGTTGTTAAACCTGCATACCCCTTGACCTACCAATTCTAAGATTTTATATTATGAAAAAGCTATTTTATAAGAAGGAAGTTACTGAGTAACAGAGCCCACTGATCTTTGCCAATCATATAACAAAGGATTCAGTCATCATTTTAAACAACTTTTTAAAGCAGTGAGGAGCTGCTAACAATATTCTTGTCATTAGTTTAAGGCACATTTTGTTTTCTGAATTCTAATCTGACATTGTCTGATTTACAATGACCACTGAAAAGTAACAACGACGCACAAAAGCAATCAGGAAGCAGGAGGAGACGACCGTTCCCGTCAGCTGGGTCCTTACCCTGACTGCTTTCAGCCCATTTGACACCTTGTTCTCTTCTACCACGGCCATCACTTCCTGCCCAACGTTCAGAAGCACTCTGCTGGTCACCGCCTCGTGGGAGAAGTAGATCAAATCATCAATCATACCATAGTCACTGCAGTACCTGGTCACGACGCCCTGCACGGTTCTCAACTTGACATCACCTGCACCGGGTAAACGAGGAAGTTATGCGGGCCACACAGTTGAGGCCTCGCAGGAAAAGGCAGGTCACAAGGAGCGGGGACAAGAACCTGATGGGCTGCAGCAGTACCCACAAGAACCCTCGCCAGGCAGTGATCAGACCCAGAAGGGCCGACAGAGGGGCACAGGTGGTGGGCACGCTGAGGGCTCCGACTCCACGGCCAGACGGCCCAGGTTGGACAGGGGTCTTCCACCGCCATCTATGAGCCCTAGGCTGCGTCCTTGACCGCACCCAGGGAGCAGCACGCACGCGCGGTAAGGCGGCTCCACGGCTGCGGCCGTCTCGGGCCAGGCAGGGCCGACCCAGCGGGACGGACTGGACGGTCTGCTGAGCACTCGACCAGCAGCTGGTGCTTGGGGCGTCAGTACTTCTTGAGAAAGTCCCGGTGCACCCAGAGTAGCTGTGGCCACTCTGTCCTGCGCTGTGGCACAGGGACCCATATGTCCTGCAGCGGCCCCGAACTAAGTTAACAAACCGCACTCCGGATACTCCTGGCGCCTACTGCCAGGGGCAGCCGCTTCCTGGGCACTGGGCTTCCCGAAACCGGTCGGGGTGCAGCCTGCGGGGCCAGCACGGGCAGCGGGGTGCGGCCTCACCACGCCTCCCCCGCCGCAGGTGCTGCGGCCACAGCCGGGACGACCGCCACAGGCGAGAGCAGACCCACGGACGCGGAATCCCCACGACAGGAGAGGCGGGGCGGGCGCGGCCGGAAGTGCAGCCCGGACCTCACACGTCACTTCCGGGGCCGCCCTCGAGGCGAGGTCCGGGCCGCGGCCACCAGCCCTGAGAGGACCCCGGGGGCGGACGGCTCGGCCCCTGCCCGGCAGAGACGAGGAGCGACCGGGGCGGAGGGAACGGAGGCAAAAGCCCACGTGCGCCCCAACTTTGCCTCCCGCACACACATCCCCCCCCCGAAAAGCCGCGGCACCTTCCGTGAGCTCGGGGCCTGGCGGCCCGGCCTCGTTCTCAGGGACGTCCTGTCTCCTCCAGAAAAAGGCCACCAGCTTAGCCGCGAGACGCAACATGGCCCCGCCGCCCCGGCCTCCGCGTCCTCTCGCAGCCTCAGTGTCCGCACGCGGCCAGCGCCTGCGCCTGCGCCAGCTTCCCAGCTTCCCGCCGCGCTCGACCAATGGGGCCGCTGCGCTCGCGCCTACGTCTGCGTCTGCCGCCCCCGCTGAGCTCGGCCAATGGGGTCTCCGTGCCTGTGCCTGCACCCGCCTCCCGCCGAGCTCGGCCAATGGGGTCACCGCACGTGCGGCGACCGTTAGCGGTCAGAGGGTGGCCGTTGGCGTCCTTGGCACGCCTTCGAGCGGGAGCGACGGCGCGCCTGGCGCACGTGGCCGCGCGGTCACGTGGCCGCGCGCCGAGGGGCGGGGCCTCCTGCCCGGCGGGCCCTGAGGGGCGGTGTTGGCCAGGTTCCTTGTCCAGCGGAGGGAGCTCGGGCCTGCCGGTGTTTTCCTGGGTTCTCAGCACGAGGGCTCTGAAGCGCGGCTCCCAGCGGCTCTCGGTCTGGCCTGGGGCCCTTGGGCTGCGCTGATCGCTTTTCCACGGTGGGCCCAGCGCGGCCTTCGGCCGGCCAGGCGCCTCCTCCCCGTGACGCGGCCCTCGGTTAGGCCTGGCCTGCTTGGCCACGGCTGGCGGGAACGAGCCGGCGGACTCCGCGGGCCTGAGCTCTCTGTGGGAGGGCACAGCCCTGAATTCGACTGCGCCCGGCCGTGCGGCTCTGCAGGTTGTGAGGGAGGTTGTCCGTGCCACCCGGGCTGTCGACATACTGGCATAACGTCGACCACCATTTCTTAAAAGGCCTTACTGAAAGCCAGAGCTACGGAGAAGGAAAGAGAGGTCTTCCACCCCGGTTCACTCCCCAGGTGGCCAGATGGGCCGGGGTGGGGCCAGGCCCAAGCCAGGAGCCGGGAAGTCCGTCCGGGTCTCCCAGGTGAGTGCAGGGGCCCAGGCACCGGGGCTCGGGCAGGGCCGGGGTCTCCTGCCTGTTCTGGAAAGAACCTTGCTCAGGCCCCTCCAGGGGTCTCGCCCGCCGGGGCTCCAAGAAACCGCACTGGGTGCCTGGGCTGGGGTCCCCACTTTGCGGCTCCCGCAGGAGGGTCCCATCAGGCGGGGCTGGGGAGCAGCCGCGGCCTCAAGAGCCCGGGGTAAAGCCCCACCCCACCCCCCACCCCCGCCTGGCGACTCCTGCCCACCCTGAGCACAACCCCTCCCACAGAGGTGGAAGCCTCGCTATGTATTTTTCTTAATTTATAAAAATATTTTATTTTTGCCTTAACCGGTGGTTGACATGCAAGCATCTCGACTTTGAAAGTTTAATTTATTCGAGGGAGAGCTCTCCTACCCACTGGATAATGCGCTGCACCCACATACCCAGTCTTGACTTTCATTTATTTATTTTAAATGACTTTATTGTGTTCATCTTTTTTTTTTTTTTTTTTTTTGGACAGGTAGCGTTATAGACAGACAGAAAGGTACTCCTTCCGTTGGTTCACTCCCCAAATGGCGGCTACGGCCGGTGCTACGGCCATCCGAAGCCAGGAGCCGGGAGCTTCCTCCTGGTCTCCCGTGCGGGTGCAGGGCCCAAGCACTTGGGCCATCCTCCACTGCCCTCCTGGGCCACAGCAGAGAGCTGGACTGGAAGAGGAGCAACAGGGACAGAATTTGGTGCCCTGACCGGAACTAGAACCCGGGGTGCCGGCGCCGCAGGTGGAGGAGTAGCCTAGTGAGCCGCGGCACCGGCTGGAACATCAGGAATTTAAAAATGACTGGGGAACCCAAAACCACAGCATGAGGCAGACCACTGCTTATACGCTACCCCTACCCTCTTCCTGGCTCAGGAAACCACAGAGCACCACTGGAAAGCCACACCAAGATCACGTATGCTCACCCTGGGCTAACATCACATTGCAACAGCAGCCTGAATCAACACCTAGCTGGGCTGTGCTCTCCAGAGGAAATGCGGGAACATTTTTGTGCGAGGCGGCTCTAGACCCAGGGAGGGGAGTGCCGTGCTGGGCACGTGTGTCCCCCTGGGAGCAGAGAAGTCTGGAAATCAGTACTGGAGGCCGCGCCTTGTCTGGACATCATCAAGAATTTGTTGCAGTTCCTTATCTTCAGACGGCCCCTCCAGGCTTGGTATCAGGGCCTTGGACTCCCCGGCAGTCCCTGGACAAAGGTTGGCCAAGCCGGCCAACTCAGACCCGTGAGGTTTCTTCTGGAGCAGCAAGCTGTGGACGCCGGCAGTGGGGTCTGCTTTGAAACGATTGAAATGGGCCGTGTAGGTCAGTCTTCGTGAAGACCCGTGAGTTGCTGTTCACCCGCTGCTCTTGTCCTGGGCTCGCGACGCTCCGGGACGCTCCGGGAGTGCGTGCGCTGCAGAACTGGGAAGTGTCTCGGCTGTCCCGACTCTTCAGAAAAGACGAGCTGCGGCGTCCTCGTGACGTCTGCCCGTGAATTCGTGCCCTGGCCGCCGGCACAGTCTCACGCACGGCCACAGCCCCACTCTCTTCTCGTCCCCTTTTTGGTGTCTGTGTGGTCAGTAATGGGGAGCTGTCCTTCATTCCCTACACTGTGCCTCTCAACTCCCTTAACTTGTCCAACTAAGGTTTCCAATTGTATTGATCTTTTAAAACACCTCTTTATCATTTATGTCATTATCATTTCAATGATTTTTTTCTTTAATGACCACCTTTTTAAAAAAGGTTTATTTATTTATTTGAAAGGCAGAGCCACAGGCAGGCAGAGGCAGAGAGACAGAGAGGTCTTCCATCACTGGTTCACTTCCCAGATGGCTGCAATGGCTGGAGCTGAGCCGATCTGAAGCCAGGAGCTTCTTCCAGGTCTCCCACATGGGTGCAGGGGCCCAAGGACTTGGGCCATCTTCCGCTGCTTTCCCAGGCCATAGCAGAGAGCTGGATCGGAAGTGGAGCAGCCAGGACTCAAACAGGCACCCACATGGATGAAGCTCCTGACTTCGGCATGGCCCGGTGCTGACTCTTGCAGTCATCTTGTGAGTGAACCAACAGATGGAAGATGTCTCTCAACCTCTGTCTCCTTCTCTCTTTGAAAATCTTTCAAAATAAATAAACATTTAAAAGATAAAGAAATACTGAGGTGGGCCGACATTGTGGTGCAGTGGGCTAAGGCACTGCACGCGGTGCTGGCACCCCACATTGGAGCAACAGTTGGAGTCCTGGCTGCTTCACTTCCAATCCAGCTGCCTGTTAATGCACCTGGGAAAGCAGTAAATGATGGCTAAATGCTTGGGCCCCTGCTACCCACGTGGGAGACCAGGATGAAACTCCTGGCTTCAGCCTGGCCCACCTCTGACCATTGTGGTCATTTGGGAAATGAACCAGTGGGTGGAAGATCTGTCTCTCTTTCTGTCTCTAACTCTGCCTTTCAAGTAAATAAATACATCTCTCTCTCTCTCTCTTTCTCTCTCTCTCTCTCTCTCTCTCTCACACACACACACACACACACATATAAATAAGTACATCTTAAAAGAAAAAAGTAACAGAGATCAGGGGACTCACTGGTTTTGTCCCGGGCGCAGTGCTGGGAATCCGCACGGTGACAGTGAGCCAGGTCCTGGGGATTTACGGGGTTGGTGGGAGAGATGTTTCCAGAAATGCGAGTGTGAGGCACAAGGGCGGGGTGCTGGGGCTAGGCTCCCCAGCAGGGCTGCTCGCAGTGCGTGTTGTCCCCACCCATCCACTAGCCTGGGTCATCCCAGAGCTCTCACCCTCACCCCCAAACTGCTTCACTAAGGTCCCCTGAACTCAGCCCACATCTCTCTGTCAGCAGTGGGTGTCAGTGCCTCCACATCTACCCAGAACCCGGTCACTTCTCACCACCTCGGTGCTGCCACCTCCATGCCAGCCAGTACCTGCTCCCCTGTCACCCAGCCTGGTCTCCACCCAGACCCCCTGGCAGGTCCATCTCGGCGCTCAAGCCACTTATCTCCATGCTCACAGGTGTGACATAGCTGGATAGCCCACCTGCACCCACGCCCTGCATTGCACCTGCCAGAGCTGCTTCCGCCCCTCCTTGCTCCCGGCACGTCTTTGCCCAAACCCTTGCTCCTCCCCCAACCCCCCTTTCCACTCTTCCTTCATAGCCATGGAACTCGCTAATGTATCCTGTGTGCTGCTGTCCACCCCTCCCCCAAATGGAAACTGCCTGTGGGTTTCACAGGCCTGCTCTACTCACCCTGTAAACGTTTGCCGAGTGTGTATGTAGTGCACGTGTAGTATGTGTGAGCATGTAGTACACATGTGGTATGCATGCATGTAGCACATATGTAGTATACATGCATGTAGCACATGTGTAGTATGCATGTATGTAGTGCATATGTAGTATGCATGAGTATGTAGTGCACATGTAGTATGCATGTATGTAGTGCGTAAGTAGTATGCATGCATGTAGCACATATGTAGTATGCATGTAGTGCATGTGCAGTATGCGTGAGTATGTAGTGCATGTGTAGTATGCAGTGCACGTGTAGTATGCATGCATGTAGTAAGTAGCATGCATGTATGCAGTGCGTATGTAGTATGCATGTATCACATATGTAGTATGCATGTAGTGTATGTGTAGTATGCGTGAGCATGTAGTGCACACGTGCTTGCATGTATGTAGTGTAAGTAGTATGCATGCATGTAGCGTATATGTAGTATGCATGTAGTGCATGTGTAGTATGCATGAGCATATAGTGCATGTGTAGTATGCATGTATGTAGTGTGTAAGTAGTATGCATGTATGTATCGTGTATGTAGTATGCATGTATGTAGTGCATGTGTAGTATGCGTGAGCATGTAGTGCACGTGTAGTATGCATGTATTAGTGTGTAAGTAGTATGCATGTATGTAGTGTGTAAGTAGTATGCATGTATGTGGTGTGTAAGTAGTATGCATGTATGTGGTAAGTATGCATGTATGTAGTGCATATGTAATGTGCATGTATGTAGCACATATGTAGTATGCGTGTGGTGCATATGTAGTATGCACGAGTATGTAGTGCATGTGTAGTATGCATGAGTATGTAGTACACATGTAGTATGCATGTATGTAGTGTGTAGTGTGCATGTATGTGGCACATATGTAGTATGCGTGTGGTGCATATGTAGTATGCATGA